TAATTAGTCCATACGAGGCGAAATAGGATCACTTGAATCCTATTCTGTTTTTCGAAAGTCGCTATTTTTTATAAAGTTGTGAGAGGTGGGATTTAATTTTAATAGCATAATTAGAAATCTTCGTTTAGAACTCTTGTTGGCGCAATTTATTCGCAAATTTTTTCTAAAGCTTTATTGTGTTCTATTCTTACAAAACCATAATCTTTATCAAACGATATATATCGTAAGTTTGTTTTTCTTATTTTTCATAAGAGTTTTTTTTCGTTCTCTTGTTAAATTTTGATTTATTTTTAATAAAACTAAAAATCTCCAGCCAGATCTTAAATTATTCTTGATGAAATAGACTACAAAAATGTTGGACAGTTACCGAAATTTTATGAAATCAAAAGAAAGAATATTTTAAAAGTAGAGTAGATTTAGTACAAGAAGCTTCATATTTTTGGTATGATTTACGGCCAAAGAAATATATATGTATACATTACATTCGTTCACCGAATTTAAATGAAAATAAATATTTGTTAAACATTGGTTACAAAGCTAAATACTTGTAGTTGGATATACGTCACAATCTCTGCTGTGAATAGCTACCATTTTTAATAAAGGAAGACAATCTTTTGTTTAGTAGCGCAAACAGTAGCTTAAACAATAAGACAGCATAGTTTTTGTGATTTTGGATGCAAAAATAACCCAAAAAAATCCAGATCTGTAATATTGAATTTTACCGGATAATCTAGATCGCCTTAAACGTTGTCTTAAATGTCTTTTGCACAACATTGTACTTTTGGAGATCATCTTATCCACAAAATCAGAAAATAAAAAATCAATCACTTTGTATAACATTGACGTACAATTTCTACTGCTTTTTTAATCCAACTGATCATTTGTTTTACCCCATCCAGATGGTAACCATTGGTAACCAGATGGTAACCATTCGTGCCATCAAAATTATGTTACTAATAATAAAGTTTTTATTTGCTGTTCACTATTTAGTTTTTAAAAACATTATTCGCCAGAGCTGATCAGTGAGTTCGTTTACATTTTATTGAACACTATATTTAATTACTTTTTTATGACATCTACTTTTTGTTATAAAAAAGAACGCAGTAAGTACCCTTTAGTCTTTTTAAAAGACTTTTTAAAACCGTTTTAACGTTGTTTTGACGTGTTAGTCTATTTTAATTTTGATGACGGCTCAGAATGTTTTTTATTGAATATTGTTAATTGTATTTACACATTTTATTCTCGGTATACTTGGAAATATTGAAATTTTTAAAAGCCAAAGTAAATTTGTTACTTCATCAATCAAAACTTTAATCAAAAATGAATATCCTTTCTTGAATATGAGTTAAATTAATTTTTTTTAAATCTAGAAGAATTCTTCTCCCTCACGCGATTACTTATGTATGTTATAAAGTGTTATTTAACAATTAAATAATTTTAATTAAGTTTATAAAATTATTTGCTTAAACGCGTAAATAGGTTTTAAATATGTTTACTTAATTAAGACAAATCCAAAAGTTGCGGTTTTGCGGGTGCTTCAAAACGATTTAAAACATTTTTTGAAAAAATCTTGCGTCTTTTGCAACGCAGATCTTATAGAGTTTCAGCATTATTATATTTTAAACTTTTAAAAGTATCTGTTTTAATAATCTAACACAATGACAAATAACGATTCATCTCCTGCTCTTGATTTACGTCCTACTCCATTGTCTGGAATACATCGAGGGTAACTTCAAATTTTTTATAAAATGTTTTATTTATGTTCAATATTTATTTCTAAAACATCTTTCAATAACTCAATGTGATGCTGCTATTTTAGATAATATATATATATATATATATATATATATATATATATATATATATATATATATATATATATATATATATATATATATATATATATATATATATATATATATATATATATATATATATATATATATATATATATATATATATATATATATATATATATATATATCGCCAATGTGTGAGCAAAAGATTTTTTGATGCTTAAGACATTTTGAGCAGCTTTTTTGTTGATTGAAACTTATTTTTGCGTAATAAGTCGCAACTACATTAGATTTGCAGTTAACAGCATTTTGCTTAAGTAGGGGTTAATTGCGCTATTTATCCGTTAACCGGATAATTGAAGTTAAACAAAGTCGAATAACAAATATACTTTAAATTTTGGTTACGAAGTTTAACGTATAGTAATATTCGTTTAAGAAACAGTTTTAGATTCTCATAAAACTTTGTCAATATATACTATTTGCTATTCGTTCTACTCTTCGTTAAAATCCAGTTTAATGTTCAAAAATCTAATTTGATTTTTTTTTAACGACTGCGAAACAATTTATTCCCATCGGACATAATTAGCGATTTGTATAATAATTTCTAGACATTGTTTTTGGAACTCAAATAATTTGGGTATTATACTTACGCCAAGGAGAACGCTGGTAAAGTTTGTTGCGCAAAACGTAAAAAAGGATAATACTCAAAGTAGTTATAGAAGTATATAACAGATGGAAGTTTAACCGCATTAAAATACTTCAGGACTATGATTGTAACCTTTTGTTTTGTAAGCAATTAGAAAACGACGTCAAGACTGTACTTAAACGCCTGATCTTTATACGTTGACGCAAATAATAAGCATTAAAAATGGCGACAAAGAAATAGCAAACCACAACTTTTTCTTAAACTTCATACTGAATGAATTGAGCATAAATGGAATTATGATATACAACTAAGTTTTAGTAGTTTAGAGTTTTGATTTTTTAAAAATTGTTTTAATGGTCTTTTTAATCAAATGTCAGTAAGAAAAGAAGTTTTAACTATCATATGCTTTTAAAATAAAGACTCTATATAATTACTGAGTTTTAGTAAACATTTTGTTGAATAATTACAGTTACTAATGGTTAAAACTATTTAACATCCTTAAAATAATTATTTTTTAAATGTTTTAATAAAAATCATTTCTGTAAATTTTTGTTCCACTGAAACTCCAGTGAAATCCAGTGAAACTCACGAGCATACTCTCGAGGAGACTTGAACTTGGTTTGATGTTTGCGGCTAGATGAACTTCCATTTGTTTTATATTTATGTGATGTGGTGAAGGTACAGTTTATGAAACTGCCATCAGTAGGTTTTTAGTTTAAACAATCAAGATATTTCCGCAAAATATCTGGTCTGCAAGATAAACAATTAGATTGTTTAAAAGGAAAGCTAAAAATTTTACTGTGGAATACAAGCAATCTTTTAAAATTTATTTAAAATGTAACATGCTAAATCAAGACTTTATATGTTAAAAAATTTAAAATAATTTAATTGAAGTATATTATGGAATCCTAACTTTATAGACCTGTGAAATCTCAAGTTTTTGAGTGCTATTTTTAACTGAGGACTTTGCTCAATGCTGAAATTGTTTTAACTCTATTGAAAAGACTACATATCTCTGCAATATTTATTATTTTTTAATATCCATTATTGCAATATCCATTATTGCAATATCCATTATTGCAATATCCATTATTGCAATATCCATTATTGCAATATCCATTATTGCAATATCCATTATTGCAATATCCATTATTGCAATATCCATTATTGCAATATCCATTATTGCAATATCCATTATTGCAATATCCATTATTGCAATATCCATTATTGCAATATCCATTATTGCAATATCCATTATTGCAATATCCATTATTGCAATATCCATTATTGCAATATCCACTAACAATGAAATGTTCCGCAAAGGATATTTCCAGTGATAGTAAACCTGACCTGACCTGAATTAATTTCAGCAGCCGTGGCGCAGTGGTAGCGCACATGCCTCGGAAACTTAAGATCCCTGGTTGGGAAGGAGGCGTGAACTTCCTATTAAATGCGCTTTCGCAGTGTTCTGTAATATTTTTATTTATTTATTTATTTTTTATTTATTTGAGTTTTCATGCTATATTTTTCTATACAATGTTCTTATATTCGAAGATTTTGTTGGCTTAGCATAGGAACAGCCACCAATAGTCATTAAGACTAATTCAAAGTAGCGTCCGTTATTGACCAACATTTTTGCGTACCGAAGTACTACTCAAGTGCTGAGTTGACGGTGGTGCGATTTGAACTCGTATCGTTCAACAGTCTGGGTTTTAACTTTTCTTTTGACGCTCTAATCATCTGAGCTATCCCGTCACTAGATAATAAGAAAATAAGATAATAAGTAATAAGACCGTAAGGACTTCTTGGGGTACCTAAAAAAAAAAAAAAAAAATTTTTTTTTGAATTTTTTTTTTAACCAACAGAAATTTTACTTGTATATTAAACAAAAGTAATGTTTTATTTATTTCATTTGGTTTATAACTTAAGTTATAGACTGACAATGATGAAGTTTTTATAAACATTTTCGATTTAAGTTTTACTAATTTGCCTTAACTATAATGAGTACGATATATATTTCGTATTTTATTAATAAACAAAAAATAGTATAGATTATTTAATAAAGAGATATTTATTTGTCTTTTTTTAGTTTTTTTTTTAATATTACTTTATTATCAATAAAAATTGTCCCTGCTATGATCACATTTTATTTAAGTAAATTACTTGCTTATAATGGTTACAATTATTTTTATTCGCTTTTTATTTTTACTGTTTTTATTATTAGTATTTTATTTACGCTCTTACTAATTATGTATTATTCATTAATTTTTTAGCATCATTTAGTATTTTGTTATACATAATATGATATAATCATATCCAAAGCAAAAATGTAAAACTGAGTCAAACAAATTGTCTCTATTTTTCTAAGTTGGTACTCGATTAGTTTTCTAAGTTGGTTTTCGATTAGTTTTCGTAGACAAGTTTAAGTACTTAGGTACATAATTGATAAAAAAATTAAAAAAAAAAATAGTATCATTTGTTAAACGAATATTATTTGCATAACGAATGGTTCTATTCGTTTAACAAATAGTATTATTCGCTTAACGAATAGTACCATTCGCTTTACGAATAGTGCTATTCGTTCAACTATGGTACAGAAGTTAGATAAAAACACTATTCGTTGGTGTTTAGTTGGAGCAACTGCGTTGGATTTCATTATTGTGTTAGTTAGTGCAATTGCACTTGATTTGCAGTTAGACTACGGTTTGCGTAAAACAATGGAACGTGGTAATGTTGTATTAGTTTCTCGGTAAACCCATTGTTTATAAAATATTTTTGCGCGAAAAGTGATCTCGTAGCTTATCTTATAGAAATAATGTACAAGTTACAGTCAACACATTTAGTAATAAAAAAGTATAATTTCTTTTTGGATTAATGTTTAGGATAAGAGTAGTACTGGCCCATTGGCTAAGATCAAGTGGTTAAGCACTAAAAGTTGTAAAACTTGATGAAATGCAAATTTATACTAATATATCTAATGCCAACCCATTAAAACATGCAAAATCCTTATCCCTATATGTCTATTGGTAAATGTATATGCTTATAAATGCAACAAAATTTAACCGCATCTCACATTAAACTGCTAAATCTAACCAGTGGCGGAACTACTGGACGTAGAACCCTGCGTTGCGGGGGGGCCTACCAGCTATAGGGGGCCCTCATATAAAAAAAGTTATACTCTCAATAATATTTATACTATAAAACTCTTTTCCGCAAAAAAAACATTCTTTTGCGGGAGGGGGGGCCCAAATTTTGAAGTTCCGCCACTGAATCTAACTACACTTTTTGCAGTTGATGTTTTAAAATTTCAACAAAAAATATTTTAACCCCAAAGAAATCCTTGAATTTTAGTGTCCAAATAACCAGATAATCGAGGTTCAAATATTTAATATTTGTGATTTCAAATTTAGTGATTTAAATTTTGTATTCCCCAGTAAATTGCTTAAAATATCTCAAAATTAAAATGCTTTATGGTATGATTAACATAGATTCTATAACTTTGCATTTTTGCTAAATTTTCTAAGGATATTAATCGTTTACCATTTTTACGCTACGCTTTAAAAAATGATTGTAGTGAAATGTGCTAATCTGAATATTTTTGGAGCTAATCTGAATATTTTTGGAGCTAATCTGAATATTTTTGGAGCTAATCTGAATATTTTTGAATCTAGGCATTTAATAAAGTTTGATCTTGAGTAAAATCTAGAAAGTAGATTCCATTCCATTTTCTCCTGAGTAAAGTTTATAAAGTAAAATCTTGCAAAAAAAAATTGCTGGTTAGGTAGATCCATACAAAAACAACTCTTTTGATTGCAAACTTTAAAATTTGTTGCAGACTCAAAACATAAGAAACGGTGATATTTCAATTTTTTTAATATCATAAACAGTGGTACTGCCAACGTTTTTAGAACTAATTAAGAATATACTACACTTGAATTTTATTTTAGTCTCATTCCAAATGATAATATATTAAATCATGTTCATTTTTGTACTTTTATAATTTAATGTTTATGTTTTACATAGTCATACTATTCTAAAAAACTTTTGATGATCAGTACCTTTTAATAATTGTTGTAACAAAAACTATAATAATATTTTGTTGTTTTTATAGTAAATAAATGTTGTGTCCAATTGCGTGCCTATTTCGCATCCAGGTTAGCGTTGAACATTACCAGTGCACTTTAGGTATACACACACATTTTTAAAAACTTCAACAGCTTCTATATTATACCCCTATCAAAGATAGCATAAAGATAAGCATCTAAAACAGTTGGTGTTTCTATTCATCCCACATGCAGCGTCAACATTGACGGACAGAAATCAAACAAAAAATAAATTTAGTTGTTAATAATTTTATTTATCAAAAAAATGCATAACTTCATAGGGGCAGTATATGGCCATACTTTGTAACTAAATAATGTAATCACAAAACTATATTCTCAGTTAGTGGCACCAGAAAAGCCTTTAAAACTCCCCCTCCCCCCCTGTTTTATGGTTATGTAAATTTCTTTTAAACTTTATTTATAAAAACAGTTTTCAAAGTGAAAAAAATGTTGACAACAGTTTTCAATTTGATATAACCAAACAGTTATAAAAATATCTAAAATTTAAATGATTAGAACTTTGATAAAAAGTGTAATGTAAATGTAAGAATTAACAATGTGTAAAAAAATTGTCAATGAAAAAAAGTACTATGGTGTAAACTTTAATTTTAGAACGTTCGCTTATCTGACAATCAAAGAATATATGCCAGGATTACTAGATAAAGTAATTGATTACGTACGCACACTTTCAACTCAGTATAAAGATGCAATGGATTCGGTATGTTCTTTGATAGTTTTTAAAGTAATAATTAAATGATAGTTAAAAGCAAAAAAAAATTCCATTTTTTTTCACTTAAAATCTGCTCATTTTATTCAAATTTATTCAGATTTCCCGGATTTTTTTTTTAATGGTTGGGAGGACAGATCAAGGGCGTCCTAAAAAAAAAAGATCCTGTAATTTTCCAATTTTTCGACTAGAGATAAATAATCCAATTCCTATTTTGCCGACTGAATTTAAAAAAAGGTTTCAATTTGCCAACTGATATAAAAAGTCATTGATTGAGGGGGAGGGGGTTGAGGGAAGGGACCCTCCTTTACAATACCACCCTCCCCATTACACTGCCCTTGGGTAGATCCATATTACTGTTAGATTTTTTCGATTTAGATTTGTATGGATCTTGTTTTCAGAAAAAAGGATATAAAAAATATTGAAGTTTTCAAGAATACTATAATTTTAAATTAAGTCATCAAAAAATATTTTAAGATTTTTGAAAAATAAAAATGGAAACCAAAGAACACCAAAACAATACCAAAATAATACCAAAAATTTTAAACGTTTAAATAATAATCTTGCAAATTTTACTACTTATCTGGTTTTATTATTTATTGTTTTCTTATTAAGTATTATTTTTTTCATTCTAGAGCAAGGCAGATGATGCTGAAGAAATAATTTCAAAGCTGTGCATGTTGAAAGACGAAATACTAACAAATCAATCTTTAAGAAAAATTAATGACACAGCGGATGATAATGAAATGTGGAATAAGCTTATTGAAAATACTCCTATTCTTGCTATTAACGAGACTGAACCAACATGGTTAACTGTGGCCTGGCTACATTGTCAATGTTATATGTATAGAAGAATCATAGAAGTATTACTAGTAAGGTAAACAAATGAAACATAAATTCAAATTTACGTAATGTTTTTCATTTTAGCAAAAAAAAATTTTAAAAGGTTTTAGCGGACAAAAAAATTTCGAAGAGAAATAACAACTTCGATATTCTGTTTAGTTAAAGTCTCAATTCCTTTTTTTAAGGACTTTTTTTTTTAAACTACTTGATAACCAACTTCTTATTGATAGTTTTTTTTATATATATGAAAAGTTTTAAACATATATATATATATATATATATATATATATATATATATATATATATATATATATATATATATATATATATATATATATATATATATATATATATATATATATACATATAAGTGGTGGATTTAGCATGAGGGAGGGGGGGGGGAAGCAAGCAGCTTTACCCCTTCCCCCTTCCCCCTTCCCCCTCCCCCCCCCCATTCACAAAAAAAAATAAATTTTAAGTTCAAATCACCAATGAAAAGCAAAATGGAAAGAATAAAAATAAGTACAAATGGAAATAGAGAGAGGAATTATTATAAAACAGAGATTTTAAAATATTTCCTTTCGAAACATTGATATTAAACTCTGAAAAGAGAAACATTGATATTAAACTCTGCAGAGGACAGGCATATAATGGTGCTTATGTAATTTTTGGAATTAAAAGTGTTCTTCAGACTTGAATAAAAGCGCTTTCACCAAATACCATCTATGTTCATTGTTGTACTCATGTTTTAAATTTGGTGACCATCGAAGCAATGTCTGTAAACAGCGATGTCCAGATGTTTTTAGGCACAGCTGAAAAATTGTAGAAGCACCTTACATCTAGTTTACCACGACTTCATATTCTCCAAGAGCACCAGAAACATCTATATGAATCAATAGTAGACTCTCTGAAAAGACTTTCTGATACAAAATGAGCAAGTACGAAGCATGCAGTTGATACTGATGTTGAATCTTTTTCAGCTAGGAGAATCTAAAGAACACTCAGGAAATGTTAGAGCAGAAGCTATTAGACTATCAGTTTTAACAAAAAAACATTCATTTGTTTTTATAACGTTACTTTTGTCAAAGTTGTTAATTAATCTTTTTGTGTTATCTAACTATTTGCAACGAGAAGATATAGATGTTTTATTTGCAAAACAGTTGATTGATGTTACAAAAAAAAAAGAGTTTATTAGTGAAAAATGTGCGGAACTAGATGTAGAAACTGAATTTAAAATAAACTTGTCTTTCTTTAAATTCAGTTAGCCTAACATCCAGATGCATGACAGGAGAGCTGTGGAGAGATGAAAGAGTTGATGATCCAACTACACGCCTAAAATGTGAAACCTACTTCAATGTTTTGGATACAATTACAACCCAAATAAAAAACGACTTCACAACTTTAGTAACACAGTTACAAATTTTGATTGCCTTGGTCCGTCAAAATTATCTGAAGAAAATATAAGTTCATTTATATTTTTTTGTCAAATTTATTGAAACAACGTAAATACTTAAGAAGCAGTCGTAGAGTATGAGACTTTCAATGATATGTATGCATCGATATTCCCATCACTGACAACTGACATACAATTGAAAGATGTACTTCAGTTCTTGATTGAGAAACAGATAGCACCCGGTCTCTCTAATTTGCCTATACTTTACAAAATCTACTTGACTCTTCCGTTACATTTGCTAATGCTGAAAGAAGTTTCAGTAAACTAAAGATTACAAAAAATTATTTAGATCAATAATGACAAACGAACGTCTTTCTGGATCAGCATTAATTTCTTTTCGACGTGAGTTTGCTGAAAACATTGACTTTGACTTGTCGATAAATCGTTTTGCTTCAATGAAATCTTGCAGAATTTGTGTAAATTACCTGAAAAGTGAATTTTTTTCCTAAATGCTAACTTTTGTAATATGTCTAGTTAAATGACCGAACTATTTTAAATGACCGAACTATTTCAGTAATAATAAATATTTCTTGTAATTTAAAAGATGATTGTTAACTAAAATAAACAAAGGAAACTCAAAAAAAATTAGTGTCTTATATGTATGTAATATGTATAATAAAAGTCACATAAAAACACATAAAAATACTTAAGTGTTTTAGTCATGAAAATAATTTCTGGAGTTTAAAATACCACACCCAACCCCCGGTCGTCCCCTATTCATTGACTTGCGTCCCCCTACCCCCGCGACACTAAACCTCATATATATATATATATATATATATATATATATATATATATATATATATATATATATATATATATATATATATATATATATATATATATATATATATATATATATATATATATATATATATATATAAATCATGTATTTTTTAGCAAGTTTCACACTACACTAGATCCTTATAGACAACAGAAGTCTGATGCATTTCAATCATCTATAGAGGCAATGCAAGTTCTTGCAGGTTACTTGTCCAATTTTAAATCAATTGAAGATGAAAGTAAACTGTATGAATCTTTTGAAGTTTTGTTAGAGGTAAATTGTTACAATTAAATAAAATTAAATTGTTATTTTAGTTTAGGCGCATACACGATGCTTCAACCTTCAAACTTAGAAAAAAATTTTATTAAATAATTAAATGTTAAATTATTAAGAAGAATGATATATGATTTCTATGAAATTTTATGACAGCTATTTGAACGATAAATGTACTTGTTATTTTTGACGTCACGTTTAAAAGTATTTTAAATTAAAGTAATAAAATATTTCAAAATTTGTAAAACATAGTTTGTATACAAATATTAAATTCAGATAACTTTGTAAAACATAGTTTGTCTACAAATACTAAATTCTAATAACTTTGAAAACATAGTTTGTCTACAAATATTAAAAACACTTGTTCGAGTCAAAAACCATCTGTTTGATTTATCAGCGTCAAGAACTAATATAGATTTTTTATATTTGTTTTTATGTTCCAAAACTTCTATTAATAATAATAGTGTAAAGTTTGTGTTCTAAAAATAGATTTTACTTTCAGTAATGTAAGGCATTTCAGGATTGGATTGGTACTTGGACAAAAATTGCACAGAAACAAAAAAGTTTCTTAAAAACGTTGATGGTTATGGGGTTGAAATTCGGACAGGCAAACAATTTGGCGTCACCAAAACGTACGTTATTAGAGCTGCTCTTACGTAACCCTATTTACCGTGCATTATTAAATAATTTTCGATTCATTTGATAAACATTTTGATTGACATAGAAATTATCTCTACTTTAATAAAGATTTTAATAATTTTTTCACACATTTAAACGCAGATTAGTTAATTAACAACGCAGTTGTTAACTAATTAAACTGCGACATTTTTTTCAGTAGAAGAAAACAGTATTTTACGGTTTTGTACTCATAAAAATTCTTACTTAAACTATAAAACACTAGTAGTTATTTGTATAACATCAAGTATAAGTCAGTAATATACTTAATGCTCATAAACTTTTAATTGGTCATTGAATTTGACCGCCCGTTAAAACAGTCAAAACCGTTACAACGGTTTTGTAGCAATACTTACAGCCTTTGTGTCAATCTAGTATGGATAGGAATTATTCAGAACTTATTTATTAACCTCTGTGAAATCTTTGTAAAAAATTTTGTACACTATTAAAAAATTACAAAAAATATAAGACACCAGAATTTGACATCAATCATTAAATTCGGTCGATATTCTTACGAACATGCTTATTATTGCAACAGTTTGTTCGACATTGTGACTAACCCCATAACGTGACACCTAATGTATCATACAGTGTGACCATACAGTATGCATTAAAGGTAGTAGGTAAAGATGCGCATTAAAAGTCATAAATGTAATTAGTATAACATAAATATATATATTTTTTTTGGTGGGGAAGGACTTTTTTAAGGCATGTGGGGTAATATTATCTAATAAAAAATGACTAAGCCATGTATTGAATCAGTAAAAACAGAAACTTTTAGGTAAAAACTTATGTGCTTTGAATTTATAAAAATATTAAAATAATTCTTGCTATAAATTCGAAATTTACGAGAACTTTGATCAAACTAATAATTTTAATTTAGTGACTTAATATAAACTTAGAAAATATACTAACTTAAAAAAATTTACTAACTTACTTTAAAAAAAGGTTATAGAGGGTAAAGTCGAGACATTTAAGGAAAAAATAGTTTAAAACAAAAAAATAATTGTGTAGTTTGATAATATACAAAACATTAAAAAAAAATGTTAGAAAAAAGGCATGTTTCAAAATTGGAGGATAGTCTCGGACACAGTTTAACCATGGTTTTAGATCTTTTTTTTACCTTTGTGTGACATAAATATAATATATAAATTAGCTTTGGACTGTTCGCAAAACATTTTAAAAAAAATCGCCTTTAAAAATTGCTTCTGATATATAAGGAATAGGAGTGAAAATGTCATCATTCAGAAATATAAACATTAAGCTTTTTACTAACGAAAATAAACATTTCAAAAGCACTTTTTGCAAATCTTAAGTTTTTTTATTGGAATTAAATGAATTAGTATTATGGTTTTGTGTATTGTGTTAAATGCATTATTTTTTATATTAAAAAGCTCATTTTTAATACGTAAACGGATTAAGTTCTCCGGAACCACACTCCAAACATGTGTCCGCTACCACCCGATTATACCTCAATCACAAATACAAATTTTAAAACCAGTGAATTAAAGCATTAAACGAACTTTTTTTTTTTATATGAATATTGTAAATCAAAATGTATTTTTAATTAAAAAAAAAGTTATTAGTTTACATAAAAGTTAGGTATAATAATATGTGAATCAAATATTATGATCAACTGGAGTTAATTATCGTTCAACTGGAGGGGGAAATTATCAACTGGAGGGGCGGAAAATTATCGTTCAACTGGAGGGGGAAACAATATCTTGCACTCCCAGCCAATCGCTTTGGCATATTATGATATATTTTGCATATGCTCACTCGAATAATGTTTTTATAGTATTTAAAATCACATCGCATCTTTAGTTTAAGCTGTACATTAAGTGTCTCGAGTTACCAGAGGTCCGGGGCTACTCAACTTTCCCCTATAAAATTTATACCTTATTTAAAAATAAATTTCAGCTTGGAATATAATTAAAACAGTGAAATCAGCACTACATACATTAGTAAAATCACACGACATACATACATGCATTTTGCAATCAAAATAAGTTGCTTTAACCTCTCGCTAGTTTTCAAAATAGAAAATCATTTTTAAATATTATTTATCATATTTTTTTTTATCTTTAGTATTCCCTTTGGAGTAATAAATGCGATCTTTCGATACTTGTCGAGGAAAAAGAGGGTGAACAAGTTGAAGAAAACGATAAACAAGTAAAAAGCTCCGAAGAGCAGAATAATCTTAAAGCTAATATTATATCTAACCACACGGATGAAGTGTGGGCATATCTTAACTGTATGCGCTTGTCAAATGAAAAAAGTATCATTACATTTGTTTTAGATAATGCAGGATTTGAATTATTTAGTGATCTTTGTTTGGCAGACTTTCTGCTAACGTTCAAGTTTTGCACAGAAGTTCATTTTCATGTAAAATGCATACCGTGGTTTGTGTCAGACACAACTGCTAAAGACTTTTTTTGGACAATAGAGCAATGTGTAAATTCAACAGATAAGAATGTTTCAAATTTAGGAAAGAAATGGGTTGGTTATTTGGATGATAACCTTCTTGTTATAATTGAAGAAAAATTTTGGACTTCGGCGTATGACTATTCCATGCTTGAGCAGGAGGCACCGTCTCTATACTCTAAGTTAAGTAAATCAAAACTAATTATGTTTAAAGGTGATTTAAATTATAGAAAGCTTGTGGGCGATCTAAATTGGCCTTATACCACCGACATCAAAGAAGCATCATCAGGATTTTTTCCTGCTCCATGGTGTACTCTTAGAACTTTAAAGGCTGATATAGTTGTAGGTCTTGATCCTGGTGTATCTGAAGAATTAGATCGCTCTGTTGATACTTGGATGAATTCCGGAGATTATGGAGTCGTGCAGTGTTGTATATAAATGTTATTTTTTTCGAGACTTTTACCCTTGATATTCTGTCGCCATTTTTAACATTAAAATAAACAAAAAAAATACTAGTTTGTTTCAACTTCTTATTATTTGTTGTAAATCTTTTTTGTTTTCTTGTTTATTTATAAACGGTGTTTATTTACGAATATTTTTTTCTTGAAGTTTTAAAGTGTGTAGTTTAACTGACAAAAAAGTGATTTTACATAAATATTGTTTGTTATTGCTGATTGTTTTATTTTATAATTTCATTTTTTACTTCTGCAAAATAACTTACAAATACAAGACATAGATATACTCAATGCAACCTAAGGCATAGAACAAACAAACTCGTAAAAAAAAAAAAAAGCCGATAAATTAAAACAAATCCGATTAGTTGTTAGTGTTGAAACCGAAAAACTTTATATTTGTTGGTATTTAATTTATGCAAACGAATTTAAAGTAAAGTTTACCGCCTCTGTTTTTAATTGTTTACGCAATAATTTATTATTTCAAGACGGCCGAATAAGTCCCGAGTATTTCACTAAATACCGAAAACAGTTTTTTAAATGGGGCTAAAAGTTATGATTATTTATGCAAAAACTACTTTAGTAGAAAAATTAACACTACCATAGGTTATCTAAATCTAACGTGACATTATTGTTAAACATACTCATTTAGGTGTGGTATTGAAAATAGTAGCTTCAATTTTCATGAAAAAATGGTTTTTCATGGATAATTTTCCTAATTAATGTCTGATTAAAAATGTCGAGTTACATTCATTGAAAACAAGCACCAATACGTGCTTTTATGAAAAAATCAAATTCATAGACTTATCAATAGCTAACCCCCAAGGTACTTTATGTTAAAAATTGCATCTTTTCTAAATAAAACTACGTTTGATGATTTATTATAGCCTCATATATAAAAATATTATTATTTTTATTTTTTGTAATGATTTGTGTCTTGAATCCCTAAACACGCGTGTATTCAATTTAGGCCCGTTGGGAAAAAAACTTCATTTCTTATACCAAAAGACCCCGTTTTTTATAGTTGTTAGAAATGGAGTCGGTATGAGAATTAGCTGAATAAAATACAACGTTGAATTCAACGTTTAATTTAATTCAGCTTAATCATTCATTATTAAACGGAAAAAATAACCTTTGGACGTCTATCGTGAACTTTTGAATAAACCGTTTTGGACGTCCTTGAACGTACTTTAAACGTCCGATATAGACGGACGAAAGTTGTTTCATTTGGTACGTCCAAAGGACGTCCGAGGACGTAAATTATGGACGTCCGAACGGACCGGTATGGACGTCCTTGGACGTACTATGGACGCCCGCGTGCCCACTGGGTAAAGTCTTTGATATTTTAAATAATAAGGTCAAAAAAAAGTGTACATGCAAAAAAAATTACTGTTAGTTAATTTAAAGGAACTTTTTTTGGAGTATAAAAAAGAAAATGGAGCTGAAGTTGGATTTTCTAAATTCTGTGAGTTACGTCCAAAATGGCGTATTACTGTTAGATCGTCAGGTACTTCTCGAATCTGTGTATGTACTATTCATCAGAATATAAAATTAATGCTTGCAAGTAGCCCAGTTTTGGTAGACTATAAATGTCTGATTGAAAAAATAGTTTGTAACATTGAATCTAAAGAAGTTATTTTTAATCGTTGCGATAAATGTCCAGGGACTGAAATTATAAAAGCTTATCTTTTTAGCTAACAGTTTAAAGATTTTAAATCTGATGAAGCTAAAACATTCAAGCAATTGATAAAAATAGATCATGAAACTTTAGAATTTTTGCAATTACCAGTAGACGACTTCAAAGATTAATTAATTTCAAAAGTATCTGTTTTATATAAGCACCATTTTGTTGTCAAAAACCAAAACAACTATTTGAGATTATTGAAAAATGAGTTTTCAGAAAAATGAATTTCTCTGAAAACTATTCGTTTGTTGTGCAAGATGCTGTTCAAGGGTTTTACTGGGAAAACAGCCAAACAACTTTTCATCCTTTTTTTGTTTACTATAAACTTAATGAAATACTTAAAAATAAATGTTATTATGTTATCAGTGATTGCATACATCACGATACTATTTCTGTTCATGTATTTCTTGGTAAATTAATAGCTGAACTTAAAACTTATTTGTATTTTGAACTTATTCATTATTTCAGTGACGGTTCAGCTACACAGTACAAAAACTTTAAAAACTTTATGAGTTTATGTTACCATTACACTGACTCTGGGATTAAAGCAGAGTGGAATTTCTTTGCAACTAGTCACAGAAAATCTCCCGTGATGAAATTGGAGGAACTGTGAAGCATTTAGCAACACGTGCCAGTCTTCAATGGCCAATTGATAATCAAATTTTAACGCCCTTAAAATTATATAATTTTTGCTAGGAAAGTGTCACGGGTGTTTCATTTATTTATGTTGCCAGTGATGAAGTAAACAGTGTAAAAGGCAATCAAGAGAAATAATTTAGTACTGGAAACACAGTTGCAGGTACTCGCAATAATAAAAAATTTGTACCTGTAAATGAAAATCAGGTTTGTATCAGTCGTATTTCAAATGACAGTACATCTTTTATTGCAATCGTTAATGAAAGTTACAACAACAACTCAACCAAATTAGTTTCACTGTCTGATCTTAGTCCTGGAAATTTTCTTGCATGTATTTACGATGCACATTGGTGGATTGGAAATGTTTGTGAATTTTCAAAAGAACAGGAAGATGTTTTCATTGATTTTATGCATCCTCATGGTATGGCTCAGTCATTTTACTGCCCTAGCACCAAGGACACTTGTTGGGTACCTGAGCAACATGATATTGCAGTCATTCCAAATCCAATCAGTTCTGCAACAGGTTGATCTTACAATTTACCTTCAATTGTTGTTTTAGACATTAGTTCCAAACTTGAAGCTATTTTAGATATGTAATTGTAATCAAGTTGTTTATGGTTTCGTACAACTGAATTTTTTCTATCGCCAATTTTTTTTGTGGATAACAAACAATATATTAACATAATATAACATAAAATAAAAAACGGCAAAAATATTTTTTTTTTTTGTTTTTTTGCAAAAAGTGTGTGGTAAAATCTGTATTGTTTCCAAAACTACAATATATTAACATAATATAACATAAAATAAAAAACGGCAAAAATATTTTTTTTTGCAAAAAGTGTGTGGTAAAATCTGTATTGTTTCCAAAACTACATAGCATAATCAAGTTATAACTAGGTATACTTCTATAACCAGGGCCGGATTTGTGGAAAACAAACAATATATTAACATAATATAACATAAAATAAAAAACGGCAAAAATATTTTTTTTTTTTTTTTTTTTGCAAAAAGTGTGTGGTGAAATCTGTATTGTTTCCAAAACTACATAGCATAATCAAGTTATAACTAGGTATACTTCTATAACCAGGGCCGGATTTGTGACGTTGTTGGATTGATGGCGTTCTTAATCATCTGAATAATCTTCGCCTAAAATTAGAGGTGTACCGGATACGATATCCGGTTGAAAATACCGGATAATTTACTATCCGGTATCTGGCCGAATATATACTATATCCGGCCGGTTGTACCGGATAATACTAGCACAAAGAGGTTTGAAAAACTATTAAGAATTATTTAATAAATACATTTTTTTAGGGGAGGGTAATTTATCTTTTAAGTAGAAATTTAATTTTGAGAACTCTAAATCAAAATGGTTTACCGACACGCTGCTAAATGGGCTCTAACATGATGTTTTTAAAAGTCTCAGATATGACATTATCAAGCTTTGTGCAAACTCTAAACTTAAGTTTATGCTTCCATAGAATGAAAGTGTTTTGCATCAAAAAATCATGATAATTAGAGCTTGGGAACAAAAATAACCTTAGAGGTTATTTTCTCAACCACCTATCCCAAATGCAAGGGAAATCATTTAGTTATTTCATTACACTATCTAATACTCTAGCTAAATTCATCAATAGGTTTTAAATTTCATCAATTAATTTATGTTCCAAAGTTATGACCATGTTTAATTTATTACCCCTTCAATTTGGAGAGGGGTAAAAACACAGTCATAACTTTCCAACAATTTTTTTAAGATTTAAAATGATCGAAATTGAGAATTTAAAGAATTTGTTTTGCAAAAAAATTTTCTATCAAAATAATAAAAATTTTTTTTTTTTTTTTAATGTTTAAATTTTTTTTTGCTTTTATTATATTTTTTTTGAAATTTCATAATAAACTTTTTTTTTTTTTTTCTTTTTTGATATTTTGTTATAGATTTTTTCACTCAATAAATTGTCTTTATTTAAAATAAAAATTTTGAAAAATATTTTGGAGTAAAATTCATGAAAAAGATGGCCCAACCATTTACATATTTGCTGCCTGGACCTTGCTCTTACTTTGCATATTTGCCCTCTTGTCCCTACCCCTTATACATACTTGTACACTTTTAGATAATATTTAAACATTTTTAGATAATGTCGCCTCCCATACCTGCATACATACTTTATGAATGCCTCTTAAATTAAATTATTAAATTCAATGAAACAAAATGTTTTAGAAAGTTAATAATACTATCAAAAAACATAACAAATAAAATTTCAACAAATGAGTAAATGCAAAGAGTCATTCTATTTTCCTCCCATTATGGTGAATAAACAAAAGCATTTCTCTTGTTTTAGGCAATAACCTAGATCTCTTTTTCTCATAGATATTACCATATTCTGAGAACAATCTTTCAGAAAATATGGATGATGCAGGAGTGCATAGATGTTTTAAAGCAATTGTTTTTAAAAGAGGGAATCGTTCTTCTTGCATCCATGTCTTTATTGGACAGAGTTTTCTGTCTACAAGTGGTTCAGAATAAAACTTTTTTATTTCTTTTCTGGTCAAAATCTCATTTGATTTTTTCTCTAACTTTAATTTTTTAAAAGGTAATGTTTTTTCAGATGTTGCATTTATAATTTTTTTTGAAACATGCTTCAAGAGTGTCTTCTTTTTCAGTATTAATTGAAAAATTTAATTGTGATGGTTCTTCATTTACACTAAAATCTACTTCTTCAGAAC